TTTACTTTATTTAAAACTACATAAGTCATCCTGACTGAATGAGCCAAAGGTGATAGAAACTTGGTTTGTGNGGGTCATTTATTTTCCCAGCTTCATTTGGTCGCTTCATCTCCGGAAGCTCAATGAGATTTAACTCGAGGAGTTCTTCGAAAATGGCTGGCACATCAGAATCCAGGAATGGGTACTCTTTTTCCTGCATTTATTTTAGAGTCAACTTTCCACTTGGCTTGTCTTGAAAAGAAGTGGATTTCATACTCTGCTTCTTGCTCACCTTCGTCGTGAACTTCATAGGTGACGTATTGACATTCATAGCTTCTTTGCTTTCAGACTTGGGTACGAACTTGTTCCACTTCCTGACTTCTTACTTGTCATTCGCATTGCGAGGTTCATAGATGGGTAGCCTTTCATTTCCAGTGGAGGCCATGCTCAATTCCATGTCATGGGCACGAGTTGCAAGTTCTTCAAATGCACTAGGCTTGATACCTTGCAAGATGTAGCGCAATCCCCAATGCATGCCTTGGATGCACATCTCTATATCTAAAGTTTCACTAAGCCTGTCTTTGCAGTTGAGGCTTGCTTTCCTCCAACGATTGATAAAGTCGATGACTGGTTCCCCCTTTAGTTGACGAGTATTTGTAAGCTCTATCATACTCACCGTGCATCTTGTGCTATAAAAGCGATTGAGGAATTCTTGCTCTAGTTGATCCCATATGTCGATAGATCCAGCCTCGAGGTCCGTGTACCAGTCAAAAACATTTCTTTTTAGCAAGCGGACAAACTGCTTGATGAGGTAATCTCTATAAGTCCCAGCATTGTTGCATGTCTCCACGAAGTGCGCAATATTGCTTTGGATTACCTTTACCATCAAACTGTTGAAACTTCGAAGGTTGATAGCCAATTGGCATCTTCAACATATCGACCCTTGCAGTGNGGAGGTTGATAGCCAGCAGGCATCTTCAACATATCGACCCTTGCAGTGTACGACTTTGCATACGTAAGGGAGGATTTGGCAGCAACTTCATATTTGTTCTTAATGGTTCCTTCGATGAACTCCTTCAGTTGATCGATTGGAATCATCCCTTCAGATAAGACAGGGATAGCCTTAGTGGATGCCGCTTGTCTTGGGGGAGAGTCACTCTCTAGAACTTCTGGGAGCTTGCCGGGTGCATGGGTAGATTCTTCTTCCATCAAGATTCCCACCCTGTCTGTTAGCTTGTCAATTCTAGCCTCTTGATTTTGCATGCATTTGGTCAAGCCAGCGATTGCTTCCGTCAAGTTTGCCAACTGCTCCTCTACGGATGAAGTATTTGTTACCATAGCTTGCATGATTGTCGTGGACGATGGAGAGTAGCATGGATTTTCACACAGATTGATCCTTGATCGGTTTACGCTATGTGGTGTAAGTGGGGAGGATCCATCACTTGAAGCATCATCATCTTCCTTCATAGCATAGTGCTTGGATCCGGAGAGGTCAAGCATAACAAGAGTTTTCTTGATCTTTTCAGCAACATCGCTTCCTCCTTCAGATACGTTTGTGGAAGATCTTGCTCCTTTTGAGGATGAAAATCCAAAAATAGGGGTTGATGCGGACGACACTTGGGGTGCTTGTTGTCTTAAAGAGCTTGCTTTTCTCCTCGTAACTGGTCCGAAGCTTCCAAATGTGACATCGAGGATGCTTTCCACATCAGCATAGAACCTGGAGTTAGCAGCCTTGGTGGATGTTGATCTGGAGTTGATTTTCTTCGAAGCCATTTCAATGTTCTTGAACTTTGGTGATTGAAAAGTTGAGATGAGAGGTAGAGATTGTCCCACTGGGCGTGCCAAAATTTGTAGACAATAAATTCGCGTCGAGAAAATAAAATCAAAACCGAAAAAATCCAACAATCGTAGTATTTTATTTCGAATATTTGAGTATTACAATCTCTATGAATCCTCTGATTCTACTTTTCTAGTATAAATTCAAGGGCCTTTGAGCTTGATCTTGAATTGTAATTTGATTTATCCGTCGCGAACACTTTGATTGTTGCCACGAATTTTATCACAAACAAGTAGCCTTGATCATGAACGCCTTGTATTTGATTTGACTTCGTTCTTGATTCTTGGATACTTGAATTGTTCTTCGTTCTTGAGCTTGAACTTGATTGCTTGAACTTGAACTTGATTTCTTGAACTTGAACTTGGTTGCTTGAAGCCTGAAACTTGTAGAGAAATTTGCGGCGTTTGATCCACGTGCTCTCTCTTGCTTCTTGTTATAACTTCTGGTCCCTTTTCTGAGTTATGAAGACCCCTATTTATAGTTGTGGAAGGGAGGAGTTATGATAAGAACAAACTCTTTCCGACCAATCAAATTGCAGTGTGACATGACCGCATTCGATTGGCCAGAACATGTCACTTGCACACGTGGCACGATTTCATTGGCCTTTTAGTGTGACTTGGTATGCCTTGTCATTTTGACACGTGGCACGATCCTATTGGCTCTTCCATTTGACTTGGCGCGCCACGTCATTTGACACGTGGCACCAAACTGGGCCTCTAGGAAGATGTCATCTTGGGCTTAATGAAGTGGACTCATCACTTTAGCCCAATTAAATGGGCTAGTCCAATGGATTAAGACCTATTTATTTAATCCATATATATTTGATTTATATAATTAATTCAATTATATTAGCCCATAATATTTATTTGGACCAATATTATCTTGAATTTAAAATATAATCCAAATTATTTTATGGATTTAATTTTAAGTAAAATTCATATGCCTACAAATATATATAAATTTTTAGAAATTGAAATTTCAAAATAGCAATATTTTTTGAAAGATAAAATCATACCAAATAAGAGTTCAAGTCGTAGTATAAGAGTCACGTTGTAATCAAAGAATCGTTTATATCGTGTCAACCTTTTTGCTTTGCCATAAATATGAATTATTATTTCACTTTGTGGCTATTTTTAGGTTCCAATGATACCTATGAGAATAGTGCAAAAATAAAATTATCACTACGAGAATTGAGAAAATGTTATTCTTTTTCCATGTGGTGTTTCTTAATTAATATATGACGATTATCTATAATTATTTGGAAGGTTTAATGTTAAGGTTATTTACATATAATTCAAATAACTCAGATATTTAACATGGTTAATGTCAAATATCAAAATGGAGTAAAAAAATTCACTAGCTAAAGAATTTTTTATATTTTTAGACAGCCAACTAAAATGAGTTTTGAATTAAGAATAATATTTTCAATTACATTATTATAAAAATAATTATTATTGAAATGTTTTAGAATCATTCAAAGAATCATTCATTGTAAAGAATGGTATCAAAAAAGAAATGGATAATGGCATTTGATTGTTTTACCGTAAATATGAGTTATTATTTTGCTTCTTGACTATTTTTAGGATCCAATGACACCGGCAAGAATGGTATCAAAAAAGAAAAATAGAAGAAATATATAATTTTTTTCATGTAGTTAATATCCAATGATTATCTATATTTACTGAGAAAGTGTAAATTTTAAGATTATTTACATACAATCCAAATAACTTAAATATTTGACATGATTAGTGTCCGCGCATCCGCGCGGATACTAATACTAGTTCAATTAAATTGCAGCAAAGTTTTTCTTCCTCCTTGATCTAGGACTAAAAATCCTACTAAATTCACTCAAAATTTTCACCAAACCGCGCGAAAATTTAGATATAAGCTCCTTAAGTATTTTTAATTATTTTTTACAACACTTAATTAAAATCAAATTCAATTTTAAAAAACCCAAATTTTAAACTTGAAGCTATAAAGCTTGTTCAATGGCGGATAACTCTTCTTCAAGTTTTCATACTCTACTCTAAATCAATGAGTAAACAAATTGGAGTTCAAATTTTTCGATCCAACAAGGTTTAGCTCAACTCGGGTTTTTGTTATTCATAGTTCCCTTGCCAAGTAGATTCAATCTTAAAATCTATGTCTTGGTGTATCATTCGTTACAATACTTTTGACTTAATTATCCAAAAAAGGAAAAAACTGAAGTTTACATATGGAAATTTTGATGAGTTAGAGTTGGTACAGCTAGAGTGGCATGAACACTCCAGATCAAATAACTGCCAATGTGGTTCAATTGAATTCCCTTCCTCGAACAATTTGGATAAAACTAACATTTATTTTATTATATATAAAGTTTTGAATCCCATTGAAATCAAGAAAGTTATAGTGTGGCAATTGAGGTTCAAAAGTTGCTTTGGGTAAAAAGTTCAAATTCTAACTATGATATTCTAGTATATTTTTGATTCTCTTATACATAAAATGTTTAACAGTACAGTAATTTGTGGGTTATTTACTCTATGCTAAATATTTTCCGTATATCCCTTCTTCTTTTTTCTTTCTTTTGGCAGTTTTTGTTAAGCATTGAACCGCACCTTAGGTGTTGTGTTGTCCTCCCTTCCCTAATACCTAAACAGAGTTCTGTCTATGAGGCCTAAAGCTTAAATTATGGCATGGCAGGCAGCAGTAAGTTGGCCTAGTCTCTCGCCAAGCCGCACTTACAGATAAACATTTCAAGTAGATAAGATCATAAAAGAAGAAATGGAAAAGAGAACTGCCATTATACGCTATTATTTTAATATGAAAGTCAATCATATCCAGCTTTGATATGAAAGTACGAGGGAGATCAAAAGGGAGTATGTTAGTCAAATAGCGGAGTGATGATTCTGGTGAAAAAAATCAGAAGAATTTGAAGTATTATTGTTTCAGATGGCGACACGACACGACAACGACCCAGTATAATCCCACAAGTGGGGTCTGGGGAGGGTAATATGTACGCAGACCTTACCCCTACCCCGAAAGGTAGAGAGGCCGTTTCAGATGGCATTTTATCTAATTCATATAGTCAAAGTGTCTTGAAGCTATAGAGAAATTTGCTTGGGGAAAAGTAATTTAGGTGGTTGGATAAATTTTCCAATCTTGATATTATCTATATATTAAAGAACATATATCCTGGCAACAAAAATAACAATTCTGCGGGAATACATTCTCATAAAGCTATTCTAATATTCAAAAGTTATGGGAAACCACTGATCCTTATTCTGAATTTGACCTTACAAAATCAGGCCAAATTATCTCCTCCTCTAGCTACTTCTTTTTAAAGGGGAAGTAAGGGTATTATAAGTTTTTTTTTGGGTACTAATATAACCTAGAAGACTTCCATTTACATGTGAAAACTAAACATACTCATATTTCCTAGCATGGAAAAAGGGAAAAAGATGGCTCCATACTAACTTTCCTGCCAGCAACATTGATATTACTTAGTTTCTTCTGGCACCAGACTAAGTAATCTCTCCTTAATCTTGGTAAACTTAGTACTCTTGATACCAGTTTTAGTTCCACCAGCGACGTGAATAACGGATGGCTTAATCGACCTTCTTGTTGTTTTTGGAACTTCTTCACTATGCAATTGCCACTTCTTTGTACATCCTTAAGCTTCCTCTCCTTCTGCATATAGAATCAAGTTATGCATAATAGAGTTTAGAAACTAAAAGAAAGACTTCTATGAGTAAAGATGACAAGCAAACCTTTTGAAGATCTGATTTGATATTCATAAAAAGCTCGGTTTCTGCAGTGTCCATTTGAGTTCCTTGAACACCCTTTAAGCCCAAATTAGCTTCGCGTTTATCAGCACGAAGAAACTCCCAGAAAACCTGCATTGTTTCCTTAATAATTTCCGCCAACTTCACTATGGAGATGACATTTTTTTCCCCTTCATTTCTGCCTTGCTTTTCCTTTGAACGATCATCTGCTAGACGGTGAGAGTACACCCCTCGTTACTTATGAATCGAACTATTTTAGTAATGATTCAGTGAAAAAAAGTGTACCTCTAATGCTCGGGACCTGAAGAAAGCTACGGAGCATGCACCTCTTCCTGACATAATTTTGGACTCGAGGTCCTTGAAATGGCTCATCCTCCACAAATCTTTGCAAAAGTACTTGAAATTGCTGATATTCTCCAGCTACTTGGTTGTATGTGTGAAACTGTTGAGGATCATGTTCTAGCAATTCCTTTGTTTTACCATATTGCCAACAAAGAATTTCCCATGAAAGGCAAACTTGTCCAATATATACTAGTTCCAAGTCTCTATTCATTTCAGTAATGGATTTTTGTGCTGGATCAGCAAAGATTTTCCTTTGTTTGTTTGCCAAGAAGCTAGGCAAAGCGAAGGCTTTTGTTATTGAATTTGATGACTTTTTGCTTGACATAAACACTTCTGAATCCTTAAGTTGAAGGAAACCTATGTTAAAAAGTAAAACATCAGAATACATGAGTCTAGGACTCAAAACAACATTTCAAGAAGCTAATTCTAGGTTAATGAAAGGCAGCCTGGTGCCAAAACATCTCGCATTCATGCAGGTCTAGGAAAGGGTCACACTGATGTAGGTAGAAAGCAACCATCAACGACTGATTTCAGAACTCAGAACCCACGAGTTGTACGTCATATGGAGACAACTTTACGTTACTCCAAAGATACTTTGCTAATTCTAGGTCAACGATTTTTTTTTATTAATTCATCTTTTAATTCAACAAATGTTTTGACAAAAAAAATTGTCTCATTTTTTTTCTACAATACTAGTCCAAGATGACTACTCTAAATTGGTTGCGGGGTTGTTCTATTCTCCCTAAATTAGCAATTTGATTAGACCAAGAAATTATTAGTGGAAGGACCTAAAAGTCGGTTGAATGGCATTAAAAGCCACTGATTATAACATTAAAATTTAATAATTGCATGACATAATTGAAAAGGGACAGCAAAAGAGTGTCCCTTTAAGCATTTGATAGTGGGTACTTTCAGAAGTGGAGATTATGTCACACTGCTCTTTTCGAAAATCTAATGGTCAAAAATCATGCAAATTATCAGACAGGACAATAAGCATATTCTGATGCTATTTCATATTGGACAAGAGAGGGAGGTTTGACACAACTTATAAGCGGTCCACAACCCTTTACCTCACAAGCTAGTTTTTGTATCGAAATTCAGCGGTCCGTGACAAAACAATATCAAAGCCAACTTGTCACACCAATGGCGGAGGCATAATTTCCGCTAAAGAGTTTAAAAAAAGTTAAAAAGTAGAAGAGATTGTGTGACCAGCGGGAACTACACCAATTACCTCACAAAGATGTTGAACCCCTTTGAACATTGAGCTATGTTTTTGGGCTGTGTCATAGGGATTCATAATATAATATACAAAGTCATAAAACGGATTTTACCTTATATATATATAGCGTAGCAAAGGGGGTCCGGGTGAACCCTTTTTTGCCCCTCCTCCCCACTCCCCCCAAAATATCCGCTCCTGCGTCACGCCCCAAACCGGTGCCGGGTGAGGGTGTGGCGCAGTCTCACATAGGACAGGAAACCAGCTTATAAGCGTTTTATAACTCCATCTTATGAGCTAACTTTTATAGTCAAAGTTAGTTGGATGAGTGACAAAATGGAACAAGCACAAGGCTCAAAGCAGAAATTTGGTTGTTCAGCGTGCTTATTGATGAATTTAATCCTAGAGTTTACTGAAAATGACATGAGTAAGGGGCCACAAGATTCATACATATGCTGACTTCATCAAGTATTTAATACTGAAATGGACAGAAAACAAACACATCATTGTTCTACACCAAACAAAGATTTAACAATTAAAGATGGAAGTTCGATTTTTTTTTTTTTACCAAACAGCTAAAAGAGGTAACTAGTTTGAAACTTACTGATAGCATTCAAGGTCTGATAATTCAAGATATCCAATTTTCTCATTTTTTCAGCATAGCTTTTGTAAAACTTCTGGATTTCTTCAATACAATCTTTATACTCAATCTTTTCATCAATTTTCAGTGGCTTCAAATCTTCTACTACTTTAGGAGATTCACTATCTTCTGATATAGTAGGCAGCCCTGTGATTCTTGAATTTTTCATTTCCATTTTCATTTGCCTGACTAAATTCTGATGTTCCAATAAGATATCATCTTCATCTGAGTCTGTATCCCATGATTTTCGACTCGAATTATGACCTTGAAATTCTTGCAAATCATCCATTAACTTCACTTCCTCAGAATTCATATCTGTTTCTTCAACTCTGTCAACTTTTTCAGAAACAAACTCATCTGTATCTATTGCATTAAAATTATGCAAAGAGGTTTCCAATTCTATAAACCCCATGTCATCATTTTCCATAAAATGATCAGAATTCAAGAATCCATTAACATGTACATCAGAAGTTGATTTTTCACTTATAATGAAATCCTCAGCTCCAATAGTATCAGACCCTTGAAACGAATTTCGACCTAAAGAATGATTCTCAGGAAACAATTGAATTTCATAACATATATCTTCCAAATTCTCTGATTCCTTATCACTAAAAACTTCATCATTTTGCTTCAAATTCTCTTCACAACAAATACTTTCAACATGCTCTTCTGCTAATTCTTGATCATTAGCTTCTTTTTCATCAAAAACCTCAGCTTTTGCTTCCTCTTTATTTTCTGTCTCAAGTACATGTTCTTGAATGTCACTTCCATTTTTGAAAAAAGAGAAATAGAACAATTTTTCCTTAGAATTTGGTGAATCATCAAAACTCTTATGAATCTCTTCTTCTTTTCTAATTTGATCCAACTGAAACTCCTCAGCCATTAAAACTTCTTCTTCTCCTTCATTAAAATTCACAAACATTTCTTGAATAGTAAAGCTTTTAACTTCTGGCTTTTCTATAAATCCGAAAGCATCTTGTCCATATTTGTATTGAAACTTACTCTGTACAAAAACAGAGCTCTCTGTTTCAAAACCCTTCTCATCAAATTCTAAACTTTTGTCACTTTTGCATTCCAATTGAATGGCACTAAAATCTGAATCATTCTTCTTATAATCACCCTCCACCATCCTGCTACAAAACCAAAAGTGACAAAAACTTTAAGCAAATATAACAACAACAACAACAAAAAACTCACTAAATTTAAATTTTTACAAGTGACGCATGGGGAGAGTAAAATATACACAACTTTATCCCTACCTTGCAAGTATAGAGAAACTGTTTGACTCTCGGTTAAATTAAATAATCTGATGAAAAAGAAGATTTATTTATCATACCTGTCTATGTATTTCTCCAAGAGAAAGAAAATCTTGAACATGAAGCTAGAAAAGAAACTCCATAGGGAATTGACACACCAAGTTATTGTTGTGTACATAAATTGACTCAAAAACATTTTATTAAAGTGGCTTTTGAGCATAAAATGTTTATTGGTACTCATGCCTTTTCCAACTACAAGTAAAGGAAAAAAGGAACACAAGCTAATAGTAGTAGGCTAGTAGTATAGTAATCTTGAATTCATAGGAGAAAGTGGAGAGACCACTAAAGAAGAACGATATTTGAGGAGAAAAATCCTAAGCATCTGCTAAAACATGTCTTGTTTTTACTATTTTTTTGGAGACCTAACATGTTGGCGAAGATTGAGGAAAAAGAGAAAAATGAGAGAATTTTAGAGAAGTCGTGAGAGTGAAAGATATGGACATGAAATTGCTGAATGATCAAAGTACAAATAAAGAGATGATATAAATTTGTTTTGTATAGAGAAATGACAAATGGGGCTTAGATATTTCATAATGTTTTTTGTCGGTTAAAGATTTTGTATGGTTTTGGTGGGGCTTTTTTTTGTTTGTTTTCACTTAACATTTGACACGTTTCTTAGGTGAGTGGTAAGGGTCAAATTTCATTAACAATGGAGAAAGTCTTAGTTTTCTTTTTTAATCTTTTTTTTTGTAATCTTAGGTATTGTTTATTTGAAATTATTGGTTCGATTAGTTCAGATTTCATCAGATAAACTTACTTAGGAAATAGTTAAATTAATTTATATTGCAATGCATAAACTCTTCAGATTACGTCGAATAGGCCTACTAAGGAAATAACTCAATTAATTCAAACTGTACCGGATGGATCTATTAAGGAAGTTGCTTCTAACAAAGTGGGCGTTTGGACATAAGAATTATAAAATTTCGAAAAAAAAGTAAGATATTTTCAAGTGAAAATTAGATTTGTATTTGGATATGAACATAATTTGAAGCTATTTTTAAATTTTTCTGAGTGATTTGAAATGAAAATTTTGAAAAATAATTTTTTAAAGTTTTTCAAATTTTCGATTTTTTTTGAAATTCAACTTCAAGTGAAATATGCAATTTTTTAATGGCCAAACGGGCCCTAAAAGTTCTCCAATTACATAATTTTAACTTAATAACCTCTGATTTAAAGCGGAGAAAACATTACTTATTCCACCACATCTCATACGGTGAGAAAGTCGTGTTTGGATATTTGCTTTTTGGAACGTTGCTATACTCTTCTTTTGGTGGTGAGTCTTTGCCTTTTGTGCTTTGGGCCTAGTCAAAGACGTGAAACTAGTTCTTAGCACCAAAAAGGAAAAAAGCAAGGACTTGGTACAATAAATGTAATATTGTTCGCATTAAATTTCTTGTAACATAATTCCCGTGAAGGAGATTTACTGAATATGTTGTACATGAGAAGTTGAGATTGCAAGAATCCAAAGTTCCATCCCTCTTTTTCTTTTTTCTTTTTTCTTTTTTCTTTTTATCCCTCTCTTTTTTTTTTAAATTTTTCTTTTTCTTTTTCTTTTCCTTTTCCTTTTCCTTTTCCCTTTTTTAACAGTGGCTAATATATTATTTTAATGTGATATGAGGTAAGTCATCTGTTTTTATATATATATATAAAGGAGAGAAAAAAAATCATGGTCAATCGTACTACGAATTATTGATACTTTTCTAAATCGACGCTATAGAACTGGCAAAAAGGCAATCAGATTTGGTAGAATATAAAATAGAAAAGTCATAAAATCGGTGGATTGAATTTCTCCACATAAGGTAGAATTGGATTCGAATTCCACAAAATTGAAATAATGACATCCACTTAACCAATATGAGCATTTGGTGCAACTGAACCAATTTGCTTGCCTATTCATATGACTTTGGGGTCGTTGTGTGGTGTAAACAAAATTGACATTTTGTTTATTAGAGGAAGAATAAAATGAGGTTTACTTGGTAGTACTTGTGTTTTTTTCTTCCTCCTGTTTTAATGAAACAGTAGAGATATGTACTGTCATAATCAAGTCTATGTCTCGATGATAATCAAAGTCTTTCACGTATGAACAACGTCTTTCAAATGGTGACGAGAGGTGTACCCAGGATTTAAAGGTAGCGGAACACATAAATGAATTGTTCAACTAGTAGCCATGTCAGACTTTTGATTAAGAATAATGTATGATCGTTTTCAACTTATATACATTTATATATTCAAAAAATTTGTCAAAATTAATGGAGTCCGGTGACTTTTAGTACAAGCATAGATAGCAATAAAACGATGAATGAAGTCAAACTTGAGTATGGACGAAACTCGTTCATTTTTATCCCCTTGTAAATCAAGCAAGATCACATGGAGATTGAAAATACCAACAAAACACTCTAAGTTATATTTATATTTGCTAGCTTAACACTAACTTTTCGATATAAGTTGGCTGGAAGTAGTTTTGATTATTGATAACGAGTGGAAACAAATAATTCGATCGGAGAATTTGTCGAACCATACCATACGGGTTCGACAAAAGCAAAAGATAATTCTAAATATAATTGGTCTATTTTGGTCCTATATTATATGAAAATAAAATCTGAACTCTTGATTTTAGATGAATACTATTTTTCTCTTTTATTTTTCTTACACCTTGGGGATTAAACGTGAATCTCCGTACTTCAATAGACTCGAAACTCTTATCCTAGCGATTGAAGGTAAAAGTACCTCACTAAGTGAAAATCTCACTCGCATTAATTTTAGATGAATACTTATATTTTAAGGTTCTTTTCTTTCTTTGGACTCCATATCAATATGAGGAAGGTTATCAAAAAGATAATATCTCTCAAGACCAAATAGCAACAAATTAAGGTAAATGAAATAAATTCCTTTTTTTCGGTTAGTTAAAAGAATTTCCTTTTTGCTTATGCGTTTGTCTAAGTGAAAAGGTAAAAGATCAAATAGGAAAGAAATATTTTGCCTTTCACTTTCCATCTTTTGCTGGACTTGATGTGGAAAAAGATAGAAAAAAATCTTAACTATTTTCCGTAACTTTCTCGCTGAAAGACACACAAACACTGAGAAAAAGTTCACTTTTAGACACTCTCCTTTTCTTTTGATGTCACCCATGCAGCATTTAATAAGATATATTTTCTTTTTCCTTTAATTGTTTTTGCTAATTATCACATGATAATATCTCCCAAGGTATGACCTAATGATCGACAAAGTGGAAAGAAAACATGAGGTCTCGTCTTCAAAGCAAACGAAAAAAATAACACTAGATGATTTTTTCTATTTTGTCCCAGCTTTGATGGACACTCGATGGAATAATCATTTTATTCGAACTCATAAACCATTATTAAAATTTGCGGCCGTTAAATCATTAGTTTTTCTATGATATTTTTCTTTCTATTTGCATAAAGTTAAATAGCAGAACTTCTCGTCGTCACATAAAATGTTGGGCTGCATGCCTTTAAGATAAATAACACAAGATTGTGATAGGGGGCGTTTAATGCTTTAACTTAAATTAATATCTGTGCATTCATGTTATTGAGGTGGCGAAAAATGTACATCAAAATTCATGCATTCGAGAACCGTCCCCGTGACCCATCTCTGTCACATATAAACAACCGTTAGCATGCTTGTGAATTGTTGTGATATGCACCACTTGTGAACCGTTAGCATGTAGCTTTTAGGCTTAGGCGGATTCACGATTTAAGTTACGGGTTTCTATAGCTAGTACCTCAAATTGAAATACAATAATAAATGTTTTTACAATTAAATATTTATAAATTTTTTTACCTAATTTTTTTAATACGTATATAAATTGGAACAAAAGCTACTAAATTCACATGAACTGTAAGATATGTGATAGATCTGCATCTGCCCTTGCTTCAAGGATGAAGTTGAGCCTATACAATAGATCGGTGAGGAATCCTTGTGAGCAAGCAAAGGGTGGATCTATAATATTGGTATGGGTTCCCGGGAACTTAATAACTTTTATTCGAACTTTGTATTTATATTGAAAAATCTATTAATATATAGTTATTTTTAGCTTGGAACCCATAAGTAAAATTAGTGGTCGGTCGAGTGGTAAACGGAGGAAACAAATTAAGCTATGTTCCGGAGTATCTAGCTAGGGTTTGAATCCCGGTATACCCTTCTTAACTTCACTTTTTTATTTTCACAAAACAACACATGTAAGCACTTTTTTGTTTCCTTTTTCTTTTAAAAACAGACCAGCCAACATTAAAAAGACATTCCTACTTAGGATCAGTTTTGCCCAAATGCTAAGAATTCATAAGGTTCAAATTTTGGATCCGCCTCTGTGTGCGAGCACCAAAGTGACAATTACTAATAGGGATGTTTATCGGGCGGATAATTATGTTTCACGGTTCCGCTTATGAATTATCGGATTATAAATTTAGTAATCCGCTAGCCATCCAATAAGATAATGGGCGGATTGGTATCGGATAAACAGTTATCGGGCGATTTATCGACTAAACCAAGCAGAAAATTTTTGAACTACTAATACCAAATAGGTGAAGAATAAAAATAGAAAGTTGTATATGGTCGAAATCGAACTCGGAACCTGACGAATTGGAGATCGACCCCGAGTCCCACTGGGCCAGAACCCAAGATCAGAATGTCCATCCTCAAGAACAAATGAGTTTGCAATCCCGGACTCGACCATGACCCTGAACAAGCTTGAGGAAACATTATCAACAGAAGGCCGAAATACCCGTGACCGGTCGGATATCACGGCGGGAATCTCGGCACATATCAATAAGGAATCGGCAAATCAGCAAATCAGGAGATATTTTATCTTTTATAGAGTTGTACCTAATGTAGGACTTTCCTACTATATAAAGGGGGTTTGATTACTTGTAAAACACATTTTAATACGCATCTCAAAGAAATATACTATCATTTTCTCTTTCGACTTCTTATTCAACCATGTTTTAATACTGATCAAATTGCATTATGTTCAAGGGTAGTTCACCTCCCAAGGTTGTTACTATTCAATTCGTGTGGTTTGAATCTACTTTATCACTGCTTATTTTAATTATATTTTTAATTTATCGCCTTGTGTCAATTTAATCCATGTATCCTTAAAACCATTTACAAATTCAATTGTTATGCGATTTTGAGGGTAAACAGTTTGGCGCCCACCATGGGGCTAATGATGATAGTGGTTATTTGATGCAAATTTCTATAGTACACATTGGTTTACATTTGTTCTTTGAAGTGTCTCTAATTTTAGGTTAAACTTCAAAATGTCAAACTCACAATTAGTACCCTTGCCTGCTGACAATGAGTCCGGTCACCATGGTGAAAATAACAACATAGCGCCTAGTAACGAGATATCACCCGTTGATCCTATCAAAATTCCAATCGTGGACCCGTTGGACGCTAACTCGCATGTGGCTATCGACACAAACCTGCCTACTAACCCTGAGAATAGCATCTACGACGGAGCCCAATCAACGATACAAAATACTCAAAATAATAGAGGAGACAGGATCAATCTACGGATGATCTTCG